TACAATGAAATATAATCTATAATCTTCAGGCTTCATATAATCTATAGAGCTTTGTACTTGATTTCAAAACTGTGTAAAGAAGAAAAAAATCCTCAAGTGTGACATTTATCAAATGTTTTATAATGCAAAAGCTTAAAAAAATAATCTGAAAATTAAGTACTGCTTTAAATGACATGCCTTGGAAAAAAATACTGATCAGATGAAGTAAAATTAAATTTACAGACTCATAGGCAGATTGCTTAAGTATTCACCAGAATTCAGCAAAATCTCTGAAGAGATCCTGGTGTAACAGAGTTAAAATTCACATAGGATTTCTAGCTCCTGTTGCATTAGGAAGCAGAAACATTTTAGCCTTAGTAGAGCACCAAGCCAGCCATTATTAATGAAGCTGTCTAATGGACTGAGCCTTAGCCACGCATGAGAGCCCAGATACTTCTGTCCTCCATGAGAGCTAATTGTTCAGGACCATCAACGCATAACATTTAACTGTTTAAAAGTAAGGTGATAACTCACAGTTGATTCCCCTGCACTCCTGCACAGCATTGCACTAGACTTTTAAACAGAAAGGATTTCCATTATCTAACTGAAGTGCTAATGTTCAGTTTCCTTAATGACCTCAGAAGATTTAATAAGCAATTTATTTAATTCCTGTACAGCTGACACATGACTAGCTGATAACATATCCACTAATTTTGTGCATTTTCTTCCTTATAGGCTGGTCACTCCCTAAGTGTCATTCTGTAATTTTATGTTACACTGCAAATAAGCCCTCTAAATACGACACTAATGTTTAGCTGGCTCTGAACTCAAAGAGTATGTTCATGGGATACAATGGCTCTGTTTGAGGGAACTGGGATAAGGAATCTGTGAAAGTGAAGGAAATCTTGAGAGTGAAAATCCCTATAAGATGATAATGTAGAAACACAAAGGAAAAAAAAACAGGAAAGTGACAAGTTAAGTGCAGAATATGGTCCTAAAAGATGACCACGTTCTGATTTTCATCTGGTCTTGTTGAAGTGTGTGTTGCACTAAGACTTAATATACAAACCAGTCCACTGCACAGGAAAGGGCTCAGCCCAAAGGGCTCAGGAAGACAGAAACATGTTGAAAATGTTGAAGTGCTCCAACATTTCTGCTGGATCACTGATGTAGATGCGTGCTAAATAAGCTTTGGATTTTTTGCTACTGTTTAGAAAGACCAGATCAGTATCTTACACTTCAGGGTCCAACAAGGTAGGGGAAGTTTGAAGTTCCCAACACTTCAGAAGTCTCAACCACCAGCTCTCAAAGAATTGACAGAGAAGCTGAGAACTATTGGCAATTAACATGCAACAAATTCTTTAACCCTGAGGGATGTGTTGGCAAATCAGGGCAGGAACAAAGAGGTATGTGACATTGATAAATTTTATCCAAGATCAGAGCTAGCATTCACACTGTCAGCTCTGAAGGGTAAGAAAAGGCTGATAGAAATAATAATCAGGGGGAAAAAGGACACATCCTTATAGGCAATGCCAAACCACTGGCTGATGGAAACTCCCTCTTGTCAAGCTAGTTAGCAAGACTCATCGTGACCAGATAAAATTAACCATCGCCTAAAGCTATGGACAGTTGTTAAGGCATTTTGCTTTGCGTTTGGGTGACACTCAGGCAAAAGAAACAAAGGGAAAAAAAAAAAGGCACAACAGCAGATCAATACAGCATTTACCAAATATAGCAAAAGGGGACTTACTATGTCCTTGAGTTATTCTCAGCGAGATTCCAGTGGAATTTTTCTTTGCCCTAATACTGTTCATTAAAAAAATAAAAAAATCCCACAGACAACCAGGAGGAGTTTTGTTCATTTTTAGAATAGAAGATGGAGGACAATAAATAATGGAGTATTTAGTTTAGGCAGGAAACTTGATTGGTGAAGCCACACACTGACCTCAAGCACACCAATACCAGTCTCTTACAAGACAATGAACCTCTAATTGTTTTGGGGTAAACCAAAAATTTTCTATCTACCCTTAGTTTAGAACATTTATAGCTAAATAGCCTAATTTTAAAACGATATAACCAATGTCTATAAGCAAGATAAAAAAATGCTTTGTTTTGAGCTTTTGACCAAGCTCATATCAGGGCTGTACTAGTGAATCCTGCCAATTGCCCTGTGTGGAATGAAGTGATGCTCTGGACCAAAGCTGCAGCACCAAAAACACACCTAATCTGTATCACTGCAAATGTTGTTCACACTATGGAGCCACCTCAGCCGGACACAAGCAGCCGTTTTCTTCCTATGGACCTCTCCTCTCCTAGGACACCCGAGTACAGAGATTGTATTTTTTTGGTGGATCAGAAAACTTGAAAATACTTAAATATGCTTTGCTATCTTATGTAAATTTCACATACTTCCTAGTATTAATCTTATTTAAACACTAGATTAGTAAAGTAATTGCAAATCTGTTACCACCTCAACGTGCCTGTCAGATTAATCCACAGTCCAATTCCTTAAGAATTTTAAGTCAGGGGAACATTATTTTCCAGCATAGCTATGAGCAAGAGAAACCTGGTGAAAAATAAAAAATTTGACTTGCTCCATTCATTTCCTGTCACTGCTACTTTTCAATATTGACTCGTTTAATAGCTACTTACTATGAAAATATTTCAGGATAAATTTCAATGTCTAACTGTGCAACTTGCTTGAAATCTGTTTTCAACAAACAAAATCCTACGAACGACTTGTCACTAAAGTAGCTTTTTTTTTTAAACCGAAGAAGTTCTTGGTGAGCAATATTTAATTTTGCCTGAGACAGTTAAGAGACAAAGTATTTCTACTAATGCACTAAAAGGCAATCAAGTACTTTAAATTCACATACTTGAATTAACAGACACACACTCAAAGAAAAACAGAGACATGTATAAGGGGAGGCCAAATTGTTTTATTTAATTTTTTAGTGACCAATTGAATTCTTGGCAGAAAGCTCTGCTCTTTCCTTTTTTATTCCTTGTTTTTTTTGTTGGTTTTTTTTTAACTTCTTTAAAGAAATCATCAGTGCTCAAATTGGTGGGTTGGAATTTTAGTCAAATTCCAGTTAATTTTAAAAAGAACAGATGAACAGGAATTCCAGATAGTTTCCAGAGCAGAGGGCAAAACTTCACATTTGTATGAAAATTCCATGTTTATACTTGATTGGGGGACAGAATGTCAAACTATTGTCAGTAGTGCACAAATAAAACATTCACATTTGATCTGGAATCTTAATCAGAAAGCTGTACTCTCCTTCCAAAATTTTCATTACCTTGTGCAAAGCAAGTCAAGTCTTCATGTGTCAAGCACACACGTAAAATTGTCCATATTTTATATACAAGACATCTACCAATCAGGCAGTGCAAAATACATCCTTTCATAACAAAACTAAAATGTACCTCTCAAAGTATGAACAAGAATATACACATAATACAAGATGTACACTATTTACACAACCATAAAAAATATAATACAAGGATTTTTTTTTTATGTGATTATAAGACTTGACAGTCTTTTGCAATTTTTGTTGCAACAAGGCATGTTTTAAGTTTCCTGGATGGAGTTTTCTTTGCCAATTACTCAAGAGATCTTGGAAACTACGCTTGAACTTTTAGGAGAGTTTTCAAATGGACTGCCATCAATTCCCTGTTTTGGTCAGACAGTTCAGCTGTGCCACCCACCCAGTGGCTGGGAGGCTTTGGAAGGACACTGGGAGATGGTGGGTCACTAAACTTTGCCCCAGCGTAATTTTCTTTTTGGCTCACTTCATTTAGGGCGATAGGTTTCTTGGACTTGGCATTTCTGAAGTTCTCTGTGTTTTTAAGTGGCTTTTTCTCCTGCTTCTGAACTATTTCTGGCGACACAGAATCCTGCCAAAAGTTCTCTATCTTTTTTGCCGAGGCGATCTTCGTCACTGGCGTGTTACACTTACTCTTCTGCCTGTTAATCTTTGGTTGTTCACACAGGTGTAAGCTGTGAACGGGCTGGCCGTAGGGGACGGCCGCCTTCTCTGTCTTTCCCATCTTGTTTTTTAAGAACTGCGAAGACAAAGAAAAGTCACGTCAATCACGACCGCCCTCCTCCGCGTTTCCTCACCGCCCCTCACACTTGGGGAGGCGCCGGGTGCCACCTCGGAAGGGGGAGGGTTACCGAGAAGCCTTCTCCCCGCTATTTCTCGCTTATCCCACAGCTCATCCTACCGCTCGGCTGGCACGGGCGGCCTGAGGGCGCGGAGCCCCCCCCGGCCGCCATGGGGCGCTGCACGCCACGCACGTCCCGCCTTCGGCGAGCGCGGGGCGGGGCTGGCGCGCGGCCAGCGGCAGGGCTAAATCTGGCTTGTTGCTGGGGCGCAGCGCCGGGCGCCCATTGGCGGGCGCCGGGCAGCCAATCGCTGCCCGCGGTTCGCCTTTTAGCCCCGCCCCGCCCCGTCCGAGCGTAACGGAAACTCTGCCGCCCCCCCGCCCGGTCCCCCCCACCGCCGCTCTGAGGGGGCGCGGGGAGGGGGTGACCCGCTCGCTGTTCCCCCACCCCGAGGGAAAGGGAAAATGGTCGCCCGGCTCGCCGGGCACCGGGAGAGGGCTGAAGTGAGGAGAAGTGGCGCAGCCTTGTCTTTACCTCCTTCCTGAGGGGTTTGCCGGGCGCGGGTCTCGAGGGGGCAGGCGCTGGGGGCTCCTCTGGGGGTGCGTCCGTCACCAGGTCGGTTCCCAGCGGCGTCCTGCTCCCTAGCCCGGCGCGGTGCTGCTGGTACTGCTGGTAGCGACTGGGCAAGAGCCCCGCGGGGCCGGGCCGGATCTTTCCCTTCCTCCGCCGCACCCTCTTCAGAGCGGGGCGGGCGCTACCCCCCGGTCCCGCCAGGCAGCAGCTGGGCTGGTTCTCGCAGTTGTTGTCCCCGCGCCGGAGGCGCTGGAGCAGGGCGGAGGGCGGCAGCCGCCGCGGGTCTTCGGTGCCCGCCGAGATCCGAGCCAAGAAGGGCGGCGGTGCCGTGGTGGTAACCATGGTGGGACGTGGGTACCCAGAGTTGTGCCGGGGAGAGGGGTCGGGCCCAGGCGGGCACGAACGGGTCGGGTTGCTGGGGAGGGTCTGCCCGGGCTTTGTGACGGGCTAAGGAAGTGGTGGCGCAACCGGAGCCGCCGCTAGGAGAACATGGCGGGGGAGTGAGGAGAGCCGCCAGCAGCTCCCCGGTGTTGTTACCCGGGCGCGACCCGCCCACTTCCGCCCCCGCGCCAACCGCCGTGCCCTGACGGCGCCAGCACCGCCCCTCCTCGCCGCCCCCCGCCAATCGCGGTGGAGCGGCGGTCTCTCTGCCGTCGCTCCAGCCAATCGGAAGCGACACAAACACTAGGGGCCACGCCTCCCTTGGAACCGCCCAATCCGGACGGGCACGCCCCCGGTCTCCGAGTCACGGGCTCGCAGTGCGCGGCGAGAGGGCGGTGCTCCACCGGCCAATCGGGATCCGCACGGACAAATTAGGCCACACCCACGCGGGCCGCGCAGCCAATCGCGGGAGACGTAAACAGGCGTCGGCGCGCCCCCCGGTGGGCGGTGGCGGCGGGCGGGCACGCGTCGCTCGCCATGGAGGAGCCAGGCCCGGCCGCCGCGCCGCCGGAGGGGCGGGGGCGGGACGAGCGGAGCCTGGAGGCGCTCAGTCTGGCTGGTGGCGGAGGGGCAGCGGCGGTGGGGCGGCAGCTGCCGGAGGGGCGGCGGGCGACGCTGGCGAGCGCCCTGGAACTGGAGGGGACGGTGCTGCGCGAGGGGCGCCTCACCCAGTTCGTAGCCAACAACCTGGAGCGGCGGATCCGGCTGAGCGGCGCCCCGCGGGGTGAACCTCCGGCGGGGGGCGGCGGGTCCTCCATCCCCGCCATCGACCCCGGGGCGCTGCAGGACGTGGTGGCTCTGGCCGGGCAGGTGGCGGCGCAGGTGGACGAGCTGCTGCGGAACGTGCACTGCGGGCTGCAGGCCCTGACGGCGCTCAGCGTCGGCTGCATCCAGACCTACCGCGACGGCGTGGAGAGCCTGGGCGAGGCGGCCGACCTCAGCATCCGCGCCATGTACGCACTGGTGGCGCGCTGCGAGGAGCTGGACCGCGCCATGCAGCCCGTGCCCGCCCTGGCCAAACGCATCCGTGACATGAAGGGCACGCTGGAGCGGCTGGAGGGGCTCTGCAAGTAGTTGCTCCCGCCGCCGCCCCCCCTCCGGTGCCGGCAGCGGGGGCCTGGGGCTGCTGCTCTGTCGCTCCGGCGGCCCCACCGCTCACGGCGTCCGCAGCTCCCACCTGCGCATCCTCGCTCGCTCCCCCCGTGCGTGACTTGCCGGCATCAATGGCCAGATCGCCTGTGTTGATCTGGACGAAGGGAAATTTTTGCGACCGACGAAGGAAAAGGTCCCGGTTGAAAACCGCGGGGTAAATGGCAGATGGTGCTTTTTAGCTTCAGCTCCATTAAAGATTTTGGATCCCACATGCCTTACGCTTTCTATTTATTGAGGGCTAAGAGAAACTAACGAGTCTTAATTAAAAGTAGCTGTTTTTTTTTTTTTAATTGTAAATTCATGTGAGTAGCTTCTTGATGCTTACCGGCATATGTGCTTATTTGTAGCTGATTTGGTGCCTGAAGAGCACCCAGTTCTCATCTATGCTGTTACAGCAAATAAACTCACAGAACACCACTGTTTCTTACGGGACACAATTTTAAGATAAGAGTAAGTTTAATACATGTAGCAAAGACGCTGGTTTTCTGAGACGAATATAAAGTCCATGAAAGATAATTGAGATTCAGATAAGAACAAATCCATAAGCAAAGTTCTAAATAAAAGCCTTCAGATTAAATGTGCTTTGCCTCCATTAATCTTTACCATTTTCACAGTGTAAAAGTTTAAATGGCATCACTGTGAAATGGTCCTGTTATTTTGTTGTTTGCTTTTTTGTTGTTTTTTTTTTTTTCCTAGTTGGGAAGATACCTAATTACACAAGGAGTACAAGTACATGATGACATTTTGTGGGTGTATGACTGACATAAAATAACTGTCTTGGAGTAATTTATTTGTATAACTTGAAGCTTTTGTATATGCATCACAGTGTGGAGAAGTGATTTTGTTATATCAGTGAGTGTTTCCTCTGAGACCTGAGAGTAGCTGAATTCTCTACTCACTAATGTTCCTATGCAAAAAGCCTGTTAGGTGATGCTCTTAGCAATCCATTTAGGTCACAAATGTCCCTGTAACAAGATTTCAGCAGAAAAATGATCACTTTGATCTTATATAAGTGTAATAGTGCTTTTGGCGACCAGTGGCTCCTAAAAGCCTTGAAATGAGAGTAGCCAGAAATACTGCTCAAGTCCTGTGCCTGTGGCTGAAGAGCAGGCAGGTTTACGATGGGCAGAGGTGCTACCCCATGGTAATCTTGTTAAAAACACCGAGTGAGGGATGGACAGCGTGATACCCTGTGCTCCTTCATGTACATAATACTGAATTACAACAAAATGATTGATGTGAATGCCACCCTGGTTTGCATGATGCCAGTCTCTGGCCTGTTTTGAGCCCCTTGGCATGGCCGTGTCTTTCCCTCAGCACAGGGTTGTGTTTCATGTGTGGCCTTGTAGCCCTAGCAACAGGACAAGACTGGAACTGGTCTGTGCCAAGGTAGGGTTCTCTCTGGTACTGTCTGCTTGGGGGTAGCTGTGGCTCCAGGAGGAGACCAGAGGCCTAACAGAAGTTAGGAGGGAGGAAAAACTTAACTGCTGCTGATCCCATGGGCCTAGAAGACACTAAAGATTGCTTAACACCACAGCAACAGCTGTACTTTCAATAGTTTTGTTATTCCTGGGAAAGTTTGAACTCGTATATTATGCAGATACAGTAGTTTTGCTAAGTGTGTTTGGTATATGCCAAGAGTGAACACCAAAGGTTGATCTTGCACAATTTGTGAGTACTGATGAAATATACAGGAAAGACCTGCAAGCTTATTTGTGTAGCCACATATATACAGCTACTTTTCACTCACACAAGCTAAGGTGAAACCTTTAAAGTGTTTCAGTACGCTCTTGGGTTTTGATAGTGTTTCATTTGCAGCCATCTTCATTCAATGCTAATTCCCAATTAAAATTGTTGACTCTGTAGAATAAAGTTATTACTTTTATATTTTTAATTGTTAGTGATTAGTTGCCGTTGAGGTGTTTCACTTACTGTGTTTCGGAAAAATAATTTGAAAGCTAATTTAAACTCTGCTCCTGCAGCTACACAGAGACCTTTTAATGTGATTGCAGTGCTGGTTTCAGTCTAGGTCCTCAGGCAATAATTTCTGACAGTGATGTCATTCATGTGATGAAAAAGGAATGACTGACTAGTGAATTGCAAGCATGAAGAAGGCAGTAATTATGCTGTTTGGGTTTGGTTTTTTAATATTTTTCTGAACACATTGGCTTTTTTGAAGGGCAGATTTAACCGAACTTGTTGAAGTGAACCCCCTGTTCCCTGGTGTCTGGCTTGTGCCTTTGTCATCCCTGGGGTAGGCACAGCTAAATTGATGTCAGCCTGTTCCGTGCCCCTGTAACCGGTATCAATTGGTGACCGGTACCGATTGGTAACTGGTACCTCATGGCTGCTGTGGTTTCCAGCCCCCCTGTCCATACCAGCCTCCATTGCTGCAGGACTGCTGACACTTGCCAGCGTCTGTGGCAGTGCAGCTCTGGTGCCAGCCCTGCCCTTGAAATCCCATGTGAACTGCCTGTGAGCTACGTGCAGCTCTGTAGCTTCTGGTGAAGCTGGTCCTTCTGCAGCCATACTCTTCTATTCTGCCCTTTTGATCCTAGTCCAAGCTTTCTTGTGCATATCCTGTGTTAATTCTAGCACCTTCCAGCTTTTGGATGTTGAAAGTGAAAACTTTCAATTTCTTTTAGTCTTTTTTGCTTGGTCTGTGGGTGAGCATTGTAAAACCATGTTTGGGCTTTCCAAGACCTTCAAATGGCTTGCATATATTTTCTTGCTTAGTCATGCAGCTTTACAATTGGTTGCTTTCCTTATCAGCTGCCAAGTGAACTTTCATTGTAACAAGATGGGCAAGGTCAGGGAAGAAAATTAACAAAATATAATGATGTACATAGCACTAAGCAAAGCCAGATGCAGAATTAGCTGTGGACTAGGAATGAGTTCTCTGCTCTGAGAACCACCAGTGACACCATTAGAAATTGGCTTCGTCTGGTAATTTTTTTTCAAGTGTAAGGTCTGACTGTGGAAATCCTTTTTCTTATTAAGGTTCTGCTTCATTCAGTGCATTTCTAGTCTTCCCTTTGTGAGGTTTTCTATTCCCTGACTCTGATCCAGTTCCATATCCATGCTATTTAAAGAAGCTTTATGAGATAAAACCTTACTACAGCTAAGAAAAAACCTGGTCACACAAAGCAAGAATGAACTTCACCAGCACTTCACCTTTAAGACTTTTTTTCCAATGTTGCTTAACTGCATCGAATGTTCAATAAGTAAATACAACAACTTTGTGTGCATCTTGTATCTAAAATACAAAAAAATTTTGGCTGCAATGTGCAGCTTTTTGGTGGTACTTACTCCCATGAGTAAGGTTTTGACTGAGTTACCAGTGTGAGGAGCAGCATGTGAGTTGAATCCAAGAGCAAACCTCTTAGCATTACAGATGCTACTATTTTGAAATGGTTTCAAACACCATGGTTGTACTACCAGAAGACAAAAAACTGCAAACCTTCCAAATTATCAACAGCTCTCTAGAGGAGAAAGAGCAATTCTTCTAGCAACCTGTGTAAGCCAAAACTGAAAAGAGTGTTAAGACAAGAGACCTCTTGCAGTAGGTGTCATCCAACATAAGACAGGTTCTGGCTGTCAGATGTCACACTACCTTGTCCTGATCAACCCTAGTGTGCACTCATGAAAAAAAACAAAGAACAGCAGATCATGTTTACAATACATGTCACAACCTGATTTTATTGCCTGAAAATTACTTTGAGAAAAGAACATTCCTATAAAATTATAAATTAGTCCAATTAGTACATTTTTGTGAGCATTGTCTGTACTTCTGGCATTGGCCCCACCCTGGCCCCATCCTGGAACTTCCTGCCCTGTATGTAAGAGCACACATGGAAAATCCATAACACTTCTCTTTTAGAAAGCTTAACCCAGTAACTGCATCAGATGCAAGAATTGAAACACAACTAAATTTCACATTTTCCCCCTCAGCTTAGGAAAGCCTCAGGAAAGCTTTTGTCACTGTTCTCTATTGTTTGAAGCTCCAAAAGTAGAGATGTGATCAATGGACTTGAGCCCTTAGCTTCCACTTTAGAAGTCAAGATACTTGTTGCAACAGCAGTAACATTACCCTTATCTTGTAACAGGAAAAATGATAATCAAAATTTGAAACCTTCCTGCAGTTCTAGTTCCCTTCTACTATTTATATACATTAGAAGCCATACAACAAATAAACAAAAATCTCACAACCTCTTCACCCAAAGACTCTTAATTGATCCTCTTCCCAAGTCTGAGAGAATGTGAATAGGTTTGCTAGCAGGGTTGGACTGTCATGTGCATTGGCCAGGATGCAGCAGGACTCAGTAAGTGAGGGAGCAGAAAAGCAAAGGTAAAACTATCTTGATTATTTTCCTAGATTACAGCTACAAAGCAGTGCCACTGCAATTATTTCCAGAATTTGAGTTACTGTTGCTGTGATTAATTACTATGAAGTACCTTTCTTGAAAATAGATTTTTATCAGAGAAAGGTAATAATTTATGTCAGTATTGTTATGAATGCTAGCTAGGTAAGAATCCTAGAATTTTATCCAACACTGTATTTCTTGTCTCATTTTCACCAAGGAAGTTTTTCCCTTGTTTTCTTTATAGACAAGCTGGAAAAATTCTCAGCAGTGAACTTGCTTGCAAGACAAAGAGCCATGCCCAGTGAGTTGTTCAGAAGGGTTTAGTTAAGGACTTCTTTGTTTAGAAATACGTGCAAATTAAGGGAAAAAATTCCACAAACTTGCCCAATCCTGGGTGTCTGGTTTGTCAGTGGGATCATTTTACTACACTCAGTAGCTGAAAATTCAAAAATTCCGAGGTTGAAATCTTAGATTTTTTTAATGAGTGAGCTTTCTTTCAATGGCCTAATATTTGCAGTGAAGTTTACCAGTCATTTTCACTCTAATGAGATGCTTCTTGTCTGAACTTGAGCTGATGCCACTCAAGGAAATGCTAACCTGAAAATAAACTCCTTTAAAGCCAAAGTATCATTTGACTTTGTTCCACTTTCTGTTTCCACTGCCGGTGCAATTTGTTTACTCAGTGGATTTTTTTTTTTTTCCCCAGGCTGGGACTTTTCCAGTGACGTGTCCTCAGCTGGAAGGGGAGTTTCTCACCACTGAGCAACATTGTGATTTTCCATTTTCCAAAACTCTTCCTGCATGCCATTTATAGTTGATGATAACGATCTAGTTTGGTTTTGTTTCTCTCTTTAAAGAAAGGGATGTACAACTACAAGCCTTTCATCTTTCCTGCTCCGCTGCCATCAGCTCTCTTTTGTCTGCTGAGAGGAACTGGAAAGTTACAACTGTGTCACCACCCCTGCCCCGTTCACCATTTTCGACAGCTGCCAGCTGTACCTCATTTCCCCTGGCAAAACCTTATTCTGGACCTCATCAGTTCCCGGTGCTATTCTTTCATCGCCCTTATCTTCTGTCTGCAATTGCATGCTTACTACATCTGTGTTATCATGCTGGCAAGGCACCAGCCTTACTAGCTCAGTTAGGTCCTCTTCTAGCTGGCCTTGTTTTTCATTCCTGTTTGCCTTAAATTTCAAATGGCTATCTGCAGCTCCTGG